CCTGTACTCCCAGTACTTTGGCAGGAGATCACCTGAGGCCGGGAGTTCAAGACCAGCCTGGCCAACATGGAGAAACCCCGTCTCTACTAAAAATACAAAAAATTAGCTGGGCATGGTGGCACATGCCTGAAATCCCAACCACTCAGGAAGCTTAGGTAGAATCACTGGAACCCAGGAGGCGGAGGTTGTGGTGGGCCGAGATTGCGCCACTGCACTCCAGCCTGGGCAACAAGAGCGAAATCCTGTCTCAAAAAAAAAAAAGAAAAGAAAAGCCTTACTGAGGACTCCCATGCCCTTGCTATCTGCCTAAATAATTCCTTTTTAACTCCCATATCACTATGATGAGGTGGGGTGAGAGGGTCTCTGGAGTGCATCTTCTGTGGGGCACCGCCATGCCCCATCCAGCACTGATGCCAAGTGCCAGGGCTGACCTCAGCAGAGGCTTGGGTGTGGACCAGCCAGATGGCAGCTGGAAAGGGGTCACAGCAAACAGCTGGGGCAGAACAAGCAGTAGGATCCCAGGTGAAGCCAAGTCACCCAGGCCCTGGGAGTCACCAGGCACAGAATATGCGTTGTTCTGCTGCAGAACTCAGCAGTGAGGCCAGGAGAGCACGCAGACCACCAGCAAGTGCAGGACGGCACCCAGGAGGGGCAGCAGATCCCAAAGTGTGCTTCCCTGGGGACCAGCCTGGGGCTGGGGGCCCCTCCCAATGCTACAGGACTAATGGTGCTCTAAGGTCAAGGAGCAGAGGTGTCCTAAGTGGCAGGGATGAGGGCCTATTTCCCAAGGAAGAAGCAGCACCCAAGCTCTGCTTCCCATGGAACTGATGGCTTCCTTCCCTCATCCTGGGAGCCTGAAACTTCCCCCCTTGCAGTTTGCATGCTGGGTTCTGGACAGAAATAGTCATAATTAAGCATTGATCAGGCTGCACTTAGACCCACTTTCTTGTTGCTGAAAGTCACATAGCACTCTAGATGGTGACCATTTGCATACCCGATGTTTCTACAGATAGGATTTCTGACTTTAGGATTATAAGACTGACTGTTTAATAATTTATTTGTATCCCTTTTGTTCCTATAGACAGGATCTCTGACATTAGAATAAATCACTTAAGATGTTTTTCAGAGTCTGAATTCCAGCAACCAGTTTGAAGACCCCCACAGAGGACCAGATCAGCATGAGAATACAGCGGCTTCATCTCCCTGTCCCATGACGTCATCCTGCACTTTTCAACCAATCAACAATCTCCACACTTCGGCCCATTCCTGATCCAAACTTCTCTGGGAGATGGATTTGAGGTTTCCTCCTATCCCCTCCTTCGGTGACCCTACCATTAAACTGCTTTCTCTGCTGCAACCCAGTGTTGGGATATGTGCACATTTGACAACAAACCTATTACAATTACACATAGACCCCAAATGTCCAGGCACTGGATGGCTGGCATTCCCAGGCCCCACCCACCTGGCACCCAGGAAGTCTGTGCAGCCTTCGTCATCGCACTTGTGCCCAGCCTGCCCTGTAAGAAGGCAGCTAAGGGACTGAATTCTCTTTCCTGGACGCAGACACTCACCCACTGCGTGTCCAGCAGAGCCCGCTCCTTTCTGGGGCGCACGTTTCTGTGGGCAGGAAAACAATACCTCCTTCCCTCTCGGGCTCTGTCAATTTCCCATTTAACAATAAAAACCTTCCCTGGGCCGGGCGCGGTGGCTCACGCCTGTAATCCCAGCACTTTGGGAGGCCGAGGCGGGTGGATCACCAGGTCAGGAGATCAAGACCATCCTGGCTAACACGGTGAAACCCTGTCTCTACTAAAAATACAAAAACATTAGCCAAGCGTGGTGGCAGCCACCTGTAGTCCCAGCTACTCGGGAGGCTGAGGCAGGAGAATGGTGTGAACCCAGGAGGCGGAGCTTGCTGTGAGCCGATATCGCGCCACTGCCCTCCAGCCTGGGCGACAGAGAGAGACTCTGTCTCAAAAAAAAAAAAAAAAAAAAAAAAAAAACTTTCCTAACTCTTGACTGGTGTCATCATGAAATCCTTCTCTGTTGGCTGGGATGCATGCTGCGTGACACACCCTCTCCTGCACATCCCCGACTCAGGCCAGTGGGAGGGAAGGCAGGCTAGGGGAAGAGGGTTCCTGAAAGACCAGGCTGCCAGATCAACATAAGCTTCTCAGCAGAAGGTACAATGCCAGCCTGCAGTGCTCACCCCAGCCCCTGTTCACGGGGTCTCCCTTTAACCATGCCAACACCGTGGAATCTCAACTCTTACCCCAAGGCTCCCTCTTCATGCCTCTTGTGTACACCACACATGCAAGTGTTTGTGCAAGTGTTTATCTAGGGTAGTGATTCTCAGCCAGGGCAATTTTGCCCCCTCAGGAGCCATCTGACATTTTTGGTTCTCACAAGTTGGGGTCAAGGGATGCTTCTGGCATCCAGTGGGTGGCAGCCAAGGATGCTGCTAAACATTCTACAATGCCCAAGACAGCCCCTCGCCGTAATACCACTGGCCTTGAGCAAGTCCGCTCCAGGCAAACACTGGCGTGCCTTACGTACCATGCTAAATTGTGATTGACGCTTCCTAATATTTTGTCATACGGAAATGCTTCACTTGAAAAAGTTTGTTTTACACTGTCTTTTGCTTACACCTGTGTCTTACTTGAGTTTTTTGGTACCCCGCATTCATGAACATATTTCCCCAAACTTTCTATGAATGCTTTTACAGATTCATTTTGTAAGGTTGGGATTCTAGCCCATGGGTGATTTTTTCTTGTGAATGACATGAGGGAGGGAATCCCCTCTCCTTGCCACCACTGCATGGTCACCCTGACCTGCACTGTATCGTCCGCTTCTTCCTGGTCACAGTAGCGGCCCCGCTCAGTGCCTTGGCCCCCTGCCCCATCCCTCCCTGCTCAAGGACTCTGCTCCTCTGTCATGTCATCTCTCCCGCACATAGGCCCTTCGTCCCTTGCACCTGCATTCTGCATCTCCTGCACTGACGCGCTGCTGCACTGTCTCATTTTGGAAGCTCTCCCTTGCTCCTGGTTCTCCTGTGACCACCATGGCTTTCCTGCCCTTTCACAGCAGGGCTTCACCCAGAGTCTCCTCCCCTTCCTTACCTCCCGCCAGCGTCCTGCTGCTGAATGGACTGATTACAATTTCCTTCCCAGTGTGGAAAAATATGAAAAGGAACATTAAAATGTTACCTTAACATTTCGATACCAGAAGCTGCATTTCTATGCTAGAAAGAGGCCAAAGAGAAGCTCCAATTCAGCACAAAAGTGGACAGTGTGCAATAAAGTTTAATTAACCAGTACTGCGAGGCCACCTTCATGGACTAGCATCCCTTCGTGAGCTGAAGAACTGAACAAGCAGAAGCACAGGCCAAACCCGTCCTTCCACGCTCCCCACTGTGCAGATGGGCTCACTGAGGCTCTGGCGTACACTACTGGCTCAGCACTGGATCTATTTCGGGCCAAAGTGTCAGCAGAACTGATACCCACAGGGCATCCGAGTCCATATCCAGACTGGGCTCCCTCTGCGGCCGTCTCTTAAACCAAGCCACTGCCTGCTGATGGTGAGTTTCCAATCACGAGCTGCACTGGGGGTGCCGGAGGCCTGGCTGGGCACACATCCCGGTGGGTATGAAGGGAATTTGGGAGTGGCATCTAGAAGATCAGCATGAGGGGCACAGAGGAGAAAGAGAACCCACAGCTTGCAGCCAGCAGGGGAAACTGGCTCAGCGCACAGACAGGGCCCCTAGTGAAGTCCATCCAGGCCAGTTGCCCTAAGTGCAGATCCAAGCAGGACAGGACAGGACTCATAACTGAGGAAAATGAGAGAAGCTGAGTGTTCAGGGGCCCCACTGCCTCCTGCCTGCAAGGAGGCTATGCTGGGTGTGCAAACAGAAGACGGTACATGAAGATCCTCACTGAGGGGGCACGAGGAGACACCAGGCCAGAGGGGCAGGGTCAGCAGGGCCTGGGAGAAGACCAAAGGAGATAGTCAGTGAACTATGGAGGAGCCTGGCACCCCATCCAAGCTGCTGGGGTCAAAGGCAAACCCAGTGCCAGCCCCTCCAATGGACCAGGGCCTGCCTGGCCTGCTCCAAGCTGCAGCCCATCTGGGAGGAGCCCTCTGTGGGTCAGTGCTGGGTCCTCGAAGGCCACCGTCGCATGGCACCTCAGTGCCATGGTTAAGTCTAGGGACCTGAGATCATTAGATGTGAGCTTGATCACTGCTATTTCCTGGCTGTACGGTCTCGAGGAAATCATTCCCATCCCCAGAGTCTTAGTCTTTTCATTGTGAAATGAGTCATTAACATGTACACCTCACAGAATTCTCACAAGGATTAAATGATTAATCTTATTCGATGAGATCCCATGCTTTAGGAACTTATTATAGGGGCCCACCCACGGTGGACCATCACATCCAAGGGGCTGGGGAGCAGAGGTGACAGGTGGCTATGTAAGAAAAATCTCAGGAAACAGCAGGGAGGAGAAGGAGGCCATGCCGTCTTTCTGAAAAGAGGAGAAGTATTCTCGCTTTCGTCTGATCCCTGCACCGAGAGGCACGGGCCCCCAACATACCAGCCACTCCCACTGTCAGTCTTTCCTCTCCGGCTGATATGTGAGGACCAGCTGCTCCATGGAGTCGATCTGCAGGAGAGGGAACAGCCATCAGAACCTCTGGGAGATGCTCCTCCAGTTGGCCTTAAGGGCCGCCCATGCAGGCTGGCAGCAGCAGGCAGGGGTGAGGCAGGTGGGAACTCCGGCTTGTGGATTTCCCTAGCCCAGGGAAGGCAACCCTCCCTCCCTCACCCATTCTGCCTACATCCCACATGGGAACTCATGTACTGATCCACCCATACACATTCAGGTCTCCTTGAAGGAAGACTTGAGCAACAGGAAGAGGAGAGACAAGAACCCCGAGGGGGCCAGGGGTACAGAAGAGAGAGGGCCACGGCAGTCACCAGGGGCCACCTGTCGCTTTCACCTGGAACCACCACACACTTGCCTGGCCGTGGTCCACTATTTCCCAGAAACTGGAATCCGCTGCTCGGTACTTCCTCCCGGGGTAGAGCTGCCACACGGGGGGCAGCTGGGAGAAGGGCATCTGGCTGGAAAAGAGTGGCTCCCGGGTATGCACTGCCATCTGCCACAAGTGCACCGTGATGCTGGGTTCATACTGAAGGGACCGGAAAGGAGGCGGCAGATCAGGGATAGGGTTCCCTGCCAACTGGGCTGCATACTAGCAATGCAGGCCTAGATGCCCCGGCCCGGCCAGTGGGCTGCCAGGGTCAGAGGTAAATGTTTTCAGAATTCCAGACCAAGAGCCTTGGCACTGGTTCCTGTGGCTACATCTAGGATGACTGGGGCTCTTCTGGTCCCCTCTGACCTGCACCCTGCCTCGCCCCACTGCAACCCCCAAATTTAGCCACTGTTTCCAACCTGTCACCACCCTGGGTTAAAGCTAAGTATTCTCTTGGGGCTCCATCTCTGCCATTGCCATAATTTTTAAATCTTCGTTTTAAAAACAAGATATCCATGGACTCCTGGATCTGAGGGTGATAGATTTTCCTCCCAAAATATACTGCAGTTCTGATCATGACCTTCACATACTTGTAGTAAATATACAAAATAAGGCTGGGAGCAGTGGCTTATGCCTGTAATCCCAACACTTCGGGAGGCCGAGGCAGGAGGACTGCTTGAAGCCAGGAGTTCAAGACCAGCCTCGGCAATATAACGAGACCCTGTCTCTACAAAAAATAAAACATTAGCTGGCCATGGTGGCATGTGCCTACAGTCCCAGCTACTCGGGAAGCTAAGGTGGGAAGATTTCTCGAACCCAGGAGGTAGAGGCTGTTGTGAGCTATGATCACGTCACTGCACTCCAGCCTGGGAGATAGAGAAAGACCCTGTCTCAATATAAATACATAATAATAAAAATAACAAAATTAGGCTGGTACTGGAAGTTAGAAAGATGAAAGGAAAAGTAAAACCAAAGCTTCCTATGTTATGCAACAAAATGGAAAGTCTTTTACACAATTTTCTAAGTATTTGTCGTTAGTGATAAAACGTCTTTTTGAATTAAGAATATTAGTGCTTAAAAAAACACGTTGTGATGATTTTTCTCAGTTTGTTGTCCTAGCTTTTTTACGGACTGCTTTTGCAAAGAGAAATATTTTAAATTACGTGGCAAAAATCTCTCCTTCTCTGTGTATTCTGACTTTAGATCAGAGATCAGCAAACGAAGTCTGGCTTGCCATCTGCTTTTGCAAATAGAGTTTATTGTAAATAAACTAAGGCTCCTTCCCTCATTCCTTTACCGTTGCCTTTAGCTGCTTTTGCACTGCAATAGTAGAGCTGAGTAGCTGCAAGAGCATAGCTCTCAAAGTGGAAAATGTTTACTATCAGATCCTCTACAGAAAAAGTTGGCTGCTCTTTGCATTAGATGTGCCCAGGAAGCTTAATTCCCACCCTAAGACATCGATCTATTTTTAAGAAAGAGGGAAAAAAATACTAAGTAGGTCCCTTATCCCACCCATGGCTAAGTTATTTGAAGAATCCATTCTATTTCCATTGAATCATTTAAAAACAAAAAAAAAACAAAAAAAAAACCAGAACTGTTTTTAAGAGTACAGTTCGGTGGCACTAAGTGCATTGACATGTGGAACCGTCGGCACTATCCACCTCCAGAACTTTTTATCTTCCCAACTGAGACTCCATACCTGTTATTAACATTAACTTCCCATCCCCGACTCCCTCCAGCCCCTGGCAGCCACCACTCCACTTTATAAATGAGACCACTCTGAGTACCTCATCCAAGAGACTCTGTCCTTCCGTGACTGGCCTATTTCATTTAGTATAATGTCTCCAAGTTTCATCCATGTGCCTGACTTTCCTTCCTTTTTAAGTGTGAATACTTCATGGTTTGTGTTTTGTTTACCCATTCATCTATCAATGGACACTGGGGCTGCCTCCACCTTTTGGCTAGTATGAATGATACTGCTGTGAACACGGAGGTACACATACACGCTTAAGTTCCTGCTTCAAAGTCTTGTGGGTATACACCCAGAAGTGGCATTGCTGGATTGTGCCATAATTCTCTTTTTTGAGGAATTCTCATCCTGTTTTCCATAGCGGCTGCACCATTTCATAGTCCTCTCCATTAACACTTTCTCAGGCTTTTGAAAAACTTAAAATATTTGCTCCACAATTTTTGCATGCTTTATTTAGTGTATGTACAGAAAGGCCTTTCCATGTTCTCCACCAACGTTTTTTGAAAGAACCTATTTGAAGATTTTTTAGGATATGTGTTATATTGTTTAAAATGTCAGTGAACTGGCTGGGCGCGGTGGCTCACCTGTAATCCCAGCAGTTTGGGAGCCAAGGTGGACAGATCACTTGAGGTCAGGAGTTCAAAACCAGCCTGGCTCACATGATTAAACCTTGTCTCTCCTAAAAATAACAACAAAAAAAAATAGCCTGTAATTCCAGCTACTCAGGAGGCTGAGGCATGAGAATTACTTGAGCCTGGGAGCTGGAGGTTGCAGTGAGCCGAGATCACACCATGCACTCCAGCCGCAACAGAGCAAGACTCTCTCAAAAAACAAACAGGCAGTGAATTGTTTATAATGACCTAAATGTTTGAGTTTTTTTGTTTTGTTTTTTTGTTTTTTTGAGACGGAATCTCGCTCTGTCACCCAGGCTGGAGTGCAGTGGTGCTATCTCGGCTCACTGCAAGCTCTGCCTCCTGGGTTCATGCCATTCTCCTGCCTCAGCCTCCTGAGTAGCTGGGACTACAGGCGTCTGCCACCACGCCCAGCTAATTTTTTTGTATTTTTAGTAGAGACGGGTTTTCGCCATGTTAGCCAGGATGGTCTTGATCTTCTGACCTCATGATCTGCCAGCCTCGGCCTCCCAAAGTGGTGGGATTACAAGCGTGAGCCACCACGCCTGGCCTTAAATGGCATTTTAAATATCCGGATAAACTTTCACTATATTACACTAAGGTACAGCCAGCTCCCCATTTCCACAGATACTGCACCCATGAATTCAACCAATCTCAGATTTAAAATATTTGGGGGAAAAAAAATTCCACAAAGTTCCAAGAAGCAGCGCTTGAAGTGATGTGTAGGTGTAGCATTAGGTGTTATTAGTAATCTAATTTCAAATATAGGAGAGGATTATGCTGAGGTTGTATGTAATTACTACCCATGTAATTTTCTATCAGGGACTTGAGCATCCACAGTCAGCCCTGGAATCAATTACTGTATTTACTTTATCCCTCAAAGACCGGCTGTGATCTAAAGCCCTCATCTACGGCCTTTTCCTGAGTCATTATCATTATCACCTGGGGAGCTTTTGAACAGCAAAGAATCTAGGACTCCACCCAAGCCTCCTGAATTAATTTCCAGAATCTGTTATCAGTCAAATGCTTCCCCAGGCCAGTCAGGCGGTGAGCCACGTACATGAGCATGTCTGTGACTCACTTGCCACAGAGGTGTATTATTCTCATTTTGCAGATTAGTAATCTGAAACCAATCTCACATTCATCCTATTGGCCCACCTGGTGCCTCCAGGTTGCAATGCTTTTGCTTATACTACTCCTGCCTCCTTTCTAGACCTGGAGAACTCCTACTCATCCCACAAAGCCCAGCTCAATAGCTGCCCCATTTGTGAACCTTCCCAGCATGCACTGGAAATGGCACTAAGCCCTGAGCTACCTTAGTCTCGGCTTCACCAGGCAGGACCATATTACCGCATGTGGATAAGTTTGTGCCTGTGGTCCCTTCATGGGGGTGTTCCTGGGGCCACGGCATTGCTGCGCTCCTAGACCTGCACAGAAGAGTTTTCCAGCGCGGGTAAGAACGGCCCCCTCTAACCCCCACCGCGGTCCCACACGGGCAAGGGTCAGTGCGCAGCCCTCCCACAGCCTCCCCCCGTGCCCAGGACTCACTGTGCTGCCCTGGGAGGCGCTGCCCTGGGTGTTTGAGGCCCTGGCCCATTCCCTGTGCGAGGGACTGAACCGCACGACCACAGTCACCCAGGTCCTCCCTTCCTCGTCTTCGTAGATGCCAGGCTTCTGGATCCACAGACGGTCAGGGGGCGTCCCTAGACGCACAGAAGCTTCGGAGGCCATGGCAAGTCTGCACCCGGGGCCGCCTCGAGGCTCACATGTGTGGACCTTTCAAGGTGCGCAATCTCCTTAAATGCAGCAGCTCCCGCGTGGGTGGGGCCAGGGCCGGCAGTGGGGGCGGGGCCAGTCGGGGAATGGGGGAGGGGGAGGAGGGGAAGGAGGGCAGAGGAGCGGGGAGGAGGGATAAAGGTTGCTTAATATATGGGGACCCTCTATGCCATGTCCGGCATTTTCATAGGGTATCTCACTGACATCTCCCAACAACTCCATAAACTAGAGACTGTCACCCACATTTCATAGATGAAGCATCAGAGGCTTGA